TCAGAGGGCATCTTAAAATCCATACCTTGGTGTTTCTCTTTTTTATCTACTACTGTTTGTTAGTAATATTTGACATTTCTATCTCTGAAAAAAGAAAAAAAAAAAAACATAGAAGGGGAAAAGAATCAGGGTTTTTTGGTCTGTTTACCTTTGTACATCTGACAGCACAGTTAGTTGGTGAGTCATTTCTGCCTGTTATGGGGGGAAGGGAGCGAACGAGCGTTGTTCCATCAGACATGGAAGAAATGTTTTCCAAATAATGAGAAAAATGACTTGTAGTGAGGAGGGTCTCAGAGGTGGGCTGGGTGCCTAGATCATTTTAATTACTGGCTTTTTGGGTTTCCCTTGCCTTCAAATTGGTGATGTTTCCTTCAGGCTACAGTCAGACACCTCACCCCTAGTCCTGGGGACAAGGATGTTTAGACGAAGCTCCTGCCCCTGGAGTCTGTTTGCGTACCAGCAGCACAAAGGCTCACCTTCGTTTGCAGTATATTTAAGAAAGGCAGCAGGTCTTTTCTCACAAAACACCACAGATCCTGTGAAACCCCTCAAGCTCTATTGCTGTGGAAGCTGAGCCAGGTCTGTGGGCGAAGGACACGGCTTCTGACGTGGTTCGGGGGGGGGGGGGAGGGGCATTAGTGTGAGGCAAAATTCAAATGTATTTGGTATGGGTGGTTTGAGCCTGTTTGTGCTTAAATCTGTTGACTCACAAGCAGTTCTGCTCTCCCCTGGAGATGAGGTCTAGAAAACTGCAAACAGCGGCATTGCAGCCCCTCTCGCAACCAGGCCGATCAGAAAGAAAAGGGCCGTTTACTGAAAAAAAAAAAATAATAATTCCTAGCAGCAGAGGCCCACAGCTCTGCTTGATCTAATCATGCTTAAAACCAGCTACAGCAAAGGGCTCTGACTCATAATCCACACTGAATTAGGCTTTGACCAACAATATTACCTTTCTCAGCCATCCCTCTCCTGACCGCGTCTGCCCCCGCAGCAAGGATGGCAGGACCCCTATCTTAAACACATAGATAGCAAATAAGTTCACCTCTGTCCTAAAGAAACTTTCAGTCTAAATGGAAGAGACGTTCAGTGTAATGTTTAATATTCTTCTTCTGTAATATACAAGAAGGAAAAGCACAAGATAGCCATAGCTCGGGTGCTCAAACCACTGTTGATCATCAGTCCATTAACCACAGACAAACCACGACAGCAGAACAGGCACTGTCAAAACCAGCCTGAGAGGAAAGGAGGCTGTCTGATAAGGAGTCGGGATGAAAGTTTGACTACATGTCAAACAGCAGTTTCTGTGGCACAGACACGGCTTTACATGAAATTTCATCTCTCACCTGTCTGAAGCCTTTTGCAGTGACAGGTGAATTTCCTTTGTCAAAACCGCCGCTGTTACCTTGTCTCATTCATTAGTTTTTTCCTTGGCATGATAATGTATAAATCCCAGCACAAAGATCTGAGTGCATTCTACCGAGCACTGAAGGAGATGGTCTTTATCTCCTCTGTCCAGCTCCCGTACCAGCACATCCCTGGTGAGCTCTTATTACCGCCTGTCAGTCACACTCGGTGTGCCCGTGCCATGGATGGACCCCCAGCCTTCAGGTCTGGTCATCGGCTTGAGCCAGAGTTATGGGGAGTGTTCTTCACAAAGAAATTAAAATTTGTTTTGCTACAGCTGCCCGGGGATTAGTGCACGTGAAGGGGGGGGCACCTCACTGACAGCAAGCGCCTGCCAGGGATGGGAATAAGGGCTCAGTTTGTTTTCTGGGGAGAACAAGAGTCTCGAGGTTGGGGATGTTCATGACTTGCTGCAAACCTGCTGCCTCTGAAGCGCCGTGCCCGTAGCTCAGGCAGTGTCATGGGCAAGAGCGACAGCCTTCCTCCTCCTGACAGGTCAGGTCTGTGCCTCACCCCGGGCTGGCAGAGGCTCAGTCTCTGCATCACTTCCACCCGTGACTCTTTCGCTACGGTGGCCAACAGTCGTGCAATTTGCAAGGACGATCCTTTGTGTTATGATTGCTAGTTCATGAGGAAAAACTACCGAACAGTCACGAGGTAGTACCTGTACTCAGTTTTCATCAGTAACCCTCCTGGTGAGAGGCCAGAATAGCTACAAGTGGGAACTTCCTTGCTTGGCTGAATACAAACACATAGAACTCGTATAATGGCCATAAAGATACCTCTAGGTGGTATAAAGTGGCACTTTTTGTGTCTGTAATGAATAGCACTAGGGAGGCTGATAAACCCGTGCTGCACAAGACATCCTGCAGAAGCACAGGGGGGGCACTGGCTGGGGGGCCGTACTAAGCATCCTCTAACGTTGTGCACGGCAGTCATTATCTGTCGTCACGGGATTAGCACATCTTCCAGCGAAGGGGCAGGAGGGGGGCAGCCTTTTTGTAAAGAAGTCTCGTGCTTGTGATTTGCTTTATTCTCTATTGTTGCTACTCGTTCTTCTTTATTGTTCCTTTGTTATGGGGCGAATACCCCCCAGCAAGGTGGAGTGCCAATATATTGGGCACTGTTCAAATACAAAGAGTAAGTTAACACTCGTTGAGTTGAAGAGCTTGGGATCAAAACAGCCAAGACAAAGCATGAAAGCACAGGGAGTATTTGAAATCCATAGTTATTTCCTTCCCTTTTGTACTTAGCAAATGCAGCTTCAGTCTGGCCGCACAGGTTTTCCCACCCACCTCTCTTAACAATCTTATATTTCAAGAGAACTGAAATTATCACGTTCTTGCTAGGAAAGAAAGGCCTTTCATGTCATTTTCCAGCCACAGCTGTTTGAAATGAACCACGGAGCCTGGTTCAGAGCACAGTGGCTTTGATGGATCCTTTTTTTCCCCAATCCCCCAATGGACCAGTCATGTTGACATGTCACACGGGGAACCATCGTGTTCTTGCCAGGCACCTTCATGTCACTGGGTAACCCAAGCAACATGGTAAAACACAGAAAGTAGTGTGTGGTTTCTAATCAAACAACCTGATTTTTGAGTAAGGGATTCGGGGAGGGAGACCCACTTATCCTGCTCCCTGCTTTGAAGTAGCGTAGGACGTCTCTGAAGACGTCTCCAGGGCCTGGGACCTCACGAGGCTTTTGCAAAAGTCTAGAGCACTGGTTGTAGACTAACTGGCTGCTGGTGAGAGGCAAGAGGGCTGTTTTGGTTTTATTTAAATAGGCATGGTACCTACTGCAGCTGCTCACTGGTCCCCACCGGTACCCTGTGGCACTATCACAATATGAGTACTTAAGAATAACCTGGGCATTAGAGGAGGCACCCAGAGTTCCCATATTCCCTGACCTTTACAACAGAGACTATCTACAAGTGTCACCCCAAAACACACTGGAGAAAAGACAGTCCAAATAGTCAAAGCAGTGATCAGAAGAGGGAACAGGGAGAGGGCCGTGACAGTGCTCTCACAGCAGGTCTGTGATAGAGGTTTGCCTGCAGATTCTAGACCTGTGTGATGTTCCTAAGTAAAGAGGTGGGTATGGTGGAAAGGGCACATATTTTTGGTGGTGTATACCTGTTCCTACAAATGGCCCCGGTTTGAGCCTAATTCCAGGCAAATTCACCACATAATCTTACCTGTGTCTTCCGAGTGGGGAGTGTAAAATCCATTTCTTCAACGTATCTGCAACTAAAAAGAGAAAAGCCGCAGAGAAACGACAAGAAAGGTGTTGCAGAAGAGAAGCAGGAGCAGAAGGAGGCAAGGACACTGGAAGAAAGGAGCTTGATGCTAAAATCAGGACGGGTGTGACTGCTTTGGAAGATTGAGCTATCCTAGGGATGGGGCCAGGAAGAGTAGGAAATTCCTAACCGCCAGCTGCTAGTGAACAGAGGCAGGAGGTGCTGCTCGGGTGGCACACAGAGCATGCATGAACAGCAGGATGACACACGGGACTGACCACGCGTGTTCCTACAGCACACGTCCTGCAGGTTGCCTTCTGTGCCCCGGGGCTCTCCAGGCAATCCAGAGCCCCACCCAGGGAGGAATTAGAGAGGAAAAATAAACTACCTGCTCCACGTTGACTTCAGTTGTTATCTCTTGAGACGGATGCGTAGCATCTGTTGCTATCCGTGATTGGGTGTGTGGGTGGCAGCTGTGACATTTCAGGAGCTCAGTTCAGTTTTGATGAAGCTGGAGGCCAAAGATCAAAATTAGCCTCATCTGGGTGGGCTAAAAGTTCAGCTTCATCTGATACATGTGTCTTTCTGTAACACTTACCACCCGACAGGGTAATGAAGCCTGTCCTTGCAGCGTTCTCAGGGAGAAATGAAATATTGCTGCAGAGATGGAAAACAAGAACAGGGTATTTTGAAGATTTCCCCAACACTGCAGGGGGCATCTAGATTGGGGCTGGACTCATGCAGAGGGTAGAATCTGAACTTTGTGAGGGATTTTAAGATTTTGACAGTGGTATTTAAAAGGAGGGTTTATAATGAAAGATTTTTGATTTTGATACAATAAAATTTTTAAAAATCTCTCCTGAGTCACATCAAATGTATATTTCAACAGAGCCAGAGTATGTCCAGTATTTTGTAGCATTTTCTTCTATAAAATCCATCACTGAAAAATTGAAATTAAACAAAAAATTCAAGGTTTCCTCCCCGCTCCTCAAAAATATTGAAACGATGATTCACTCTGTATTTGTCTAAAGTAAAATACCAGAAAAATCAATGGGTTTGTCAAGCATTCTGGTTCCCAAAGGAGTGCTGGTGATGGAAAAAAACCTGTTCCTGCTGAAGTTTCTCCAAACAGCTCTGTTCAGCATCAGATCAATATTCAAGGCTCTGGTGGCACTCAGCTCCCTCCCCATGGAGCTGCTAGACGAAGCCAGTTTCTACACGAACATCTTCCCTTAGGTGTTTCCTTACTGCTCGCAGCAGCTCTTCCCAGGCGACTTGGAAAGTGGTATGTCTGTCGCTCTTCTAACTTCTCTCTGTTTTTTTTTCCTCTCTCCTCCTCCCCTTCCCGCTCTCCTCCAGGAACCTTCTGCATCATTTCACTGTGCACGTGCGTGGCTGGAATCAACTTTGAGCTCTCCCGCTACCCCCGCTACCTGTACGGACTTCCCGACGACATCAGCCATGGCTATGGCTGGTCCATGTTCTGTGCGTGGGGGGGCCTGGGCCTCACTCTTATCTCTGGCTTCTTCTGCACTCTGGCCCCTTCTGTCCAACCTGTCCCCAGGACCAACTGCCCCAAATCTAGACCTGAGAATGGGACAGTGTGCTAAAACAAATAGCAAACAGATACACACACCCCCCTACATATATATATATATGTCTATGTATATCTATACATGCATATATATGTATATATAATTATACATATATATATAATCTGAAATTAATGCCAGTGCCAAGGTATAGCTGAGTCCAACACGGCACTCACATCTCCACCGGACTCTGTGTTGCTTCGTTCTTTCTCACAGCGATGGGAAAGCTTTTCTCTCACATGGCTCTTCCATCCAGCTCTTAACTTCAGCATCATACCTTAGAGGTCGAATGAACATACAGTTGCACCTACCTACTGCCGTTTGGGAAAGGGAACAGGGGGTCTGTGTGGGGGATCTGGAGCCAGAATCTGTACAGGACGTGGAGGGTGGGGCGAGGGGGACAAAAAGCCTGTCCATTGCAGCCAGAAGGGAAAATGCAAACAGCAAGCAAAGGAACAAATCAAGCATTTGAGCCACCTCTACAACGTACCTCCTCAAGGCCATTATCAGAAACCCACCCACTTACTTTTTCTTTCTTAAAACAAAGTGACAGAAGCCTGTCCTGTCATTGGTTTTGTTTTGGGTTTTTTTTGTTTGTTTGTTTGTTTGTTTTTATTGCTTAAAACAGAAAACAAAAGGGACAGACCGTGTGGGGAAAAGCAGAAAAGTATTTTCTTTCTGCCTGCCAAACTTTAGAGAGAAGTAAACAAGTGAAAATAATATTAATAATGATAAATAATAATAATAATAAACAGCTCTAACAGAATAAAACCAGAAAACAACAAAAAAACTCCATGAGGACATCTCAGAGGACTTTCCAACAATGCGGTTTTAATCTTCCAGCTGCCTTACAGCCAGGCTTACAACTGAGGCTGAACTGCTAACATAAACGCAGCAGAAGGCCTTCTGAAAATGCTGTGATACATGTGTGTATAACTTTTTCTTCCCTCTTCTTTTTTTTTTTTTTTTTAAGAAAAAGAAAAATTTAAAACATTGCAATGTGATTGTCCACTAAACCATCCATGCTGTGTTTGTGGCCCAAGACTGAGGCACTGCAACTGCAGAAGTGTGAGGAAAGCCATCAGGTCTGAGACAGCATGTCTTCTCTGGTGGATTTCAGGATGTTTTTTTGTTTTCGTGGAGCACCTGAGAGTTCAGGATGCTGGATCCAAGGGAAGATCGACCAGGGAGAAGCGAGGTGGGGGGATCCCTGGCAGTTGTTCTTCCCAGGTATTTGCTGGAGTGGGATTTCATCGAGTTTCCGTTTTGGATGTTTAAGACAACTGGGCAAAAGCCATGGCCAAGGAGAAAAGGGGAGCTAATTTTTGTAAGGGAGAAGTAAGAGACACTTCTTGTTGCGTTCATCTATGCCAAGTAAGACCTTCCTACATCTTGTCTTTGGAAAGTGCCCCAGTTCACTGGACATCTCCACTCTCCGTCTGGGAGAACTGTGTACAGATGGAAGCAAAAGGGTCAGATGCAGAGAACGGAGATCCATTTCCCATCAGCTCAAGCGTTGTATGATATAAGTGTGAATCCGCACACGGGACTCTCTCTTTCTCCTCTTTGGTCCTTCTCTTTTTCCTGCTACTCCTCTTCCTGTTGTCTCCTTTTTCCTTCGCTCTGCAATTCCCGTCATTCAGGTCGTAAGTCCCAGGAGAGCCAACTGAACAGCGAAGTCTGGAGAGGCGGGTGGATGCCATTAGGGGAAGCAAAGCATTTTGGCAGCGAGGGCAGTGGGTCCTTGCAGGGGAACAGCGGCTGAGGGGAAGGTGGGGCAGGAGGGCCAAGGGTGTAACCAAATGGCGTTTGCAGAGGCGATGACTGAACAGCCATATGCTGAGGTGAGGGTACCACTGACAAACATAGAGACAAAGGGAGAAAGGGCAAAGAAAAAAGGCCTCTCCAAAACCAACCTACCCCAACACGCTCCTAATTCAGGGATAGTACCAGCAATCCTTTCTTACTTGATAGCTGCATGCCATCGGTCCTCATTTGTCAATAAAAATCACCCTCTGCATCTACAAAAACTCACCAGGAGAAGGAGGCAACCTGTTGAAACTGTGCCTACTGCGCAGAAATTAAAGCATTAATTTCCAGGTCATGCCATTTACACAGCTGGCAAGGAACAGGACGTTGCTTGGTTAAAAAAAATCCAACCAACAAATCTTATGCAATGCAATTGCATAGCCAGCCACTCCCCTTCCAGCCCTGCTTCCCCTCCTCATTACACCTTGTGTGATGACGTTGTTTTATTAAGAGTGCCCAAAGGAATGAAGTTTCTGGAGGGCATTTTGGAGTAAGGTAGATCTGGGTTTCTTTCACTCTTGCTCAACTACCCAGCTTTTGCTTTCTCTGGTCTACAAATTCCCCAAACATGCCAATGTCAACAGCCAAGCCAGTGTGTTGCTGCTGAAGTGCCATCCCTGGCAACTGAAGTTTTGTCATTTCATTCTTCATTAGATCTGACTGGAGAAAGTATTTATTTATTCATGTTGAAAATGACTTTTTAAGTAGCTTGGTTTATTTCTTTTTTTTTTTTTCTTTTTTTTTTTTTTCTGGGAAGGTTTTCAAATAGAGTGGTTTTGAAAAGCTTTGAAACTGTTTGACTGTGCAAGTGCCTACTAGGTAAGGAGGCTGATGAATTACTGTTGGAGTGAAGAAGGAAATTAAAAATAAAAACAGCTCTTGGAAAGCTAAATGAAAACTGAAAACAGAAAATCAATAACTGAAAACTAAAAGAGACCTATAAAGAAATTTTTTAAAAATTTCAAAATATGAACAGTTTTGAGAAAAAAAAAAAAAAAAAACAAAAAAAACCCCAACTTCTCATTAAGAGATTAATGCTTTAGAAAAATGGTAATTGTTTCGTTAAAACAGATTTGATTGCCAACTTTCTTCCTCCTCTGCAGTGCCATGTGTGATAGGTGTTTTATGTGAATACAGATGCCTGGAGTGACCCAGGGGAACTAAAGGGCACAGAGGTATTTAGGTGGAGTCCACCCTCAGGCCCTGTGGCGTGGAAAGCAGGATGACAGCTCCTGTGACAATGTACAGCCTTGTGTGGTCCGTGACTAGTCACAGGGTGCATCCTTTACAGATACAGTTTTGAAAGAGGTAGCTCATAAGACTTAAAGAAATGGAGATAATTTTGCTCTTTCATGGATTCTCAAAGCTTTCCTTTCTTTCGGTGACTGGCATGAAAATAGTTCTGCCTTGATGAAGTATTCTCTGACAGTGTTGGTTTACAAGCTGTATATGAGCCTGTGTGTTTGTCTGTGTGTGGCCATGATGGCAGAGGGTTATGATTATTTTTATTTACAACAGAAGAGTGTTAACCCTGGAACTTGAGGCCAGTTTTGTGATTTTCCACCAAATATAGCATAGGTTTTCTAAGGCCTGTGTGGCTATGAAGCATCTTAAAAACTATGGGAATAAGTGTCTGAAGCAGCAGACGATCATACATCCTCAATCTCAAACTGGGTCCCCAAAGGGACCATTTGTCCAAACAGATGTTCTCTCATCTTTGCCTCAAATAAAGGCAAAACCCCCTTGGGACAGTGTGAATTTCCCTTCCTGCTACTCACAGAACTGGGAGGAGCCCTGTGTACTTCAGTACCCTTGAAGGGGGCTCACAGTCCCACCACACTTTCTGTTGGCTCAGACTCATCTTTAGAGCAGGGTTGACTCAAAATGCATCCAAATCCAAGCTTGCGATGGTTAGTATCTCCATCTATCCCGAGCCAAAGCACACTCCCTCCTAGTCTGAGTTTCTGCGGGTTTGGGAGGCTTTAAAATATCTTTCTGAACAGAGGTTCAAGATTTTTGACTAGTGTGTGGCTTTCTAGCAGGAGGAGTAGTTAATCAGAAATATGTTAGCTGTGATCCCAGAAGGAAGGGGCTTGACCCCCTCCCTCAGATCTGCTCTGGCCAAGTGCCTGAGCATGTGCTCGGAGTGTGTGATTAATGCCCTTAAATTTGGTAACTGTTCTCACGCTTAAAGTTAAGAACGTGCTTTCCTGGATGATGTTCATCTTCCTGCAGAGCCCCACTCTTCTTTTCCTATTCCCACCTTGTAGATAAAATGACACTCTTGTCCCAGCCTGATGTACCAGTGGGTGTTTGGCCTCCCCCTTCCACGCAGGGTCCGTAGCTGGCAGGCTCTTTCCCACCCGTGGCCTTTCCTGGTGCACTGCTGGGACAAACACATCTCTGGGCTCCGGGGACCCCAGAGGAACCTGACTGCAGGGAACGCAGATGTCGTAAAATGCCAGCCCTAGGGAGGCGGGAGGAATTGGCTCAACCCACCGCGATCTGCAGGCTGAGGTTTTGTGTCTAGTGACTCAGTTCTTGTTCAGTGAAGCTGCCCTGTGACTGCAGCGAGTTGGCTGCAGGGGGTTCTGCTGTCCATCCCTGCTGGGGGCACTGTGTATGTGAGGGGGCTACACGGCAGGAGTCCGTGTGCTCTGTATCTTATGTGCTGTATAGGACACTTTCTTCTTCAAGTTCAAGCTGTTTGCGTGTTATAAAATTCCTGAGTCATTGGCCACGTGTATATAGCATCTCTCCCTTCTCCCTCTCTGCAAACACACAACTGATCTTCTCTGATCTAAATAGTACAGTCTCTCTGGTTATGCTTCTAGCTGGGCTTTTTTTTTTTTTTTTTTTTTTTTTTATTCTACCCCAGGGACAGTCACAAGTGGATCACAAACCACTAGTGACCAGAGCAATTTCTCTGAAATATTTCTTTTGAAAAATTACCATTACTTTTTTGAATGTTATTCCAGCTGCAGTAACAAATGAAAGGAAAAAACCCAAAACGCTCAGAGTCCTCTAAACAGAGGGTCCTCGTCCTCCCAGGAGAGAACTGTGAGAGTGCAGGCATTCTGCTTTCCTGTAGGGGCAAGTCATTTGGGACCAGTGTTAGCTACGGCACGTTAGCTGTGCAGTTCACTGGATGGTGAATAACACAACGTTGGTGAGGGAGAGGATTGACATGCAGGGGTATCTCAGATTCTCAAGCGTTCCTGGAAGACTGAGTCTTCATGGCTGGCCATTTGTGCACCATGCAGCGCCTCTGAATCAGGCTCATCCCTGGAGCCCCACTGATAAGCAGAGCTCAGAAGAAAATCACCGTAATCTGTCCTTAATTCTTGAGTGCCAAGCGAACTGCCAGCAGTGAAATAGAGAGGAAATAATACGTTACCAAGTACAGCTTAAATAAAAATATACATTATTTGGGCTCTTTCTTCTGTGTGCCTCTTCATAGGCCTAGAAGGGCTATAGGGGTGCTCAGTCACATTCACAAAAAACAACACTGCATTTCCTTGCCCCCAGATTTCACACTCTTTCATGGCCCATACTGCTGCGCTCATCCAGCCAGCAAGGGAAGACTCAAGGTGAAAAACTGAGACAGCTCTGAATGATTGCCAGGCACCACCGAGAGACAGAGAGCAAAAAGTGTGCATGAAGCACAAACGGTGTGTAAAGATTAGTGATGGATGAATGTTCAAGGTCAAGAACTGAGTTTCAAAGAAGGCTAAAGTTTGATTGCAAACTCCAGGCCAGATCCATAAGATCTTGATTCT